TTATATCTTCTTGCTCTCTGGTACCTTAGTCAATATAGAGTGCCCTACTTTATCTCTTATGGTTATTTTCATCCTGAAGTCTATTTTATCAGAGATTGGTAATACCACTCTTGCTTTTTTGTGGATGTTGTTTTCTTGGTATATTTTTTCTCTTTTTTTGTTTTTAGCATATCTTTTTCTTCATTTATTAAATGTGTTTCTTGTGCGCAAGATATTGATGGGCTTTGGTTTTGTTGTTATTGTTTAACTGTATACTGCTACTCCTTTTTTTCTTGATTGGTGCATTTAAGCCATTCACATTAAGTGCAATTACCAATAGACCAGGTTTTATCACTGCCAACTTGCTCTGTTTCTTCATCTGCTATTTCTGGCTACTATTGTCCATCTGTTTTATTTTGTTGACTCTGTGTGAAAGACTTCCATTAGAATTTCATGTAAAGCAGGTCTTGTTTTCAACAAAGTCATCGCTTTTCTGTAAATGACCAAATTACTCCTTCATATTTGATGGACACCTTTGCTTAGTACAAGATCCTTGGGTGGAAATTGCTTTCTTTTCACCTATGCCATGTCATTGTCTCCTTGCTTGTGTGTGTGGTTTTTTTTGTGTTTTTTGTTTTGTTTTGGTTTTTTTGCTTCTGTGTTTTCAGCTGAGAAATCAGAAACTGATCTAATTAATTCTTCATTATAGATGACCGGTTTATTTGTGCTGATTTTAGTATCTTATCTTTTTCTTTTACGTTGGAGAATTTGACTATGATATGTCTTATGTTTACTTCTGTGGTCTAGTTTGTTTGGAGTTCACTGAGCTTGGACATGCATTTCCTTGTTCTTCATAGTATCTGGGAAATTTTCTTCTAGTATATTTTCTGAAATTTTCTCAGTGCTTTCCCTGCCCTCCTTGTGTTCTAGAATTTTGATCATATGTATTGTTCCTTTTGATATTATCCTACATGCTTTTAATGTTTTTTAATGTTTTCTTCACTTTCCTTCTTTCTCCCGTTTTTTCTTCTACTGTGTTCCCATTGGAGTTTTTTGTCTTCTGGATCACAGTCTGTCTCATCTCTTCTTTTCTGTTTTTTGGTTTTTGTTTGGTTTTTATTCCCCCCAGCACTCTGGAAACATCTTCCATTATGGTTTTGTTATTTTGGCTTGCATTTTCATTCCTTTTTTGTTGTTTCCAGGACTGTGTTGGCTATACCCTATCTGTCTTGTGATGATTTTTAAAGTTCTGTATCTCTTTGTCTATAGTTTCAATTCTTTCTTCCATCTTGTCCAATTTTCCATAGTTGTTTATGTTCCTCCAAATCCGTATATTTTTTTCTGCCTCCCTATTCTTTAGTATTTGCTTTATGTGTGGCTTCCGTTCTTTCTTCCATTATTTACAGTAGCTCAAGAAGTACCTTCTTTAATAGCTGTTAATATAAATCCACATAATTATAATACTTTTGCCCCCCTGTTTCTGGGGTATTGCATTATTTATAGCATCCATTTTTTTTCTTCCATCATTTGTGCTTTCTTTAGTTGCTGTTCATATAATTACGTTTAATTATATTTATATACCAATGATTGTCAGGATAAGGATGGGAACTCTCCTTTCAAGCTATTTACTTCCTCTAAAAACCCATTAGAGGGTTAGATATGTATCACTTTCAACTCAGTGGTGCTCAACAGAAAATAATCCTTTAAGTCTGAGATTGATTAAGCATTCAATAAAGATGTATTAATAGGTGGGGTTATTGTTGCTGTTATATGTCATCAAGTTGCCTGTGACCCATAGTGACCCTACGTATAGCAGCTCTAAACCCTACCCTGTCCTGAGCCAGTCTCACTAATTCTGACATGAACCCCCATTACTCCAGTTACTCTATCAATCCATCTCATCTGGGGTCTTCCTTTCCTGCACTGTCCCTCCACCCTTCCAAGCATGATATCTTTCTGCAAGGAAAAGTCTCTCCTGGCCGCATGCCCAAAGTATGTGAGATGGAGCTTCCGATTTCTAGCCTCTAAGGAGAAACTTAGTATCACTCTCTCCAAGATAGACCTGTTTGTTTTCTTGACAGTCCGTGGTATGTTCAAGACTCTTCTCCAACATCACAATTCAAAGGCATCAATTCTTCTTCTGTCATCCATAATCATTAGTTCTATTGATAGTCCATGGAATATTTAGTACTCTTCTCCAATACCACATACTTTGAGCATGTAGCTAGGAGGGGATCTTCCTTGGAGAAGGACACAATGCTGGAAAAAGTGAAGGGTCAGTGAAGAAGATGAATACTCTGAGCCAGTTTGATTGACATGATGAACACTCTTGTATGTTAGGAAGTGTGACAATGGCAAGATAAAACAGGATTCTCTTGTTCATAGGGTCGCTATGAGTTGTACTCAACTCAGTTGCAAACAACAACCAAATAACTTCAACACTATAGCTTAAAGGCATTGATTCTTCTTCTTCTATTCTTTTTCATGTTCCTGCTCTCAAAGGCATTGCAAGTGATTGAAAAGACCATAGCCTGTATCAGGCACACTTTAAACTGATATCATTGTTCCTCAGTACTTTGGAGAGATACATGACAACTGATTTTCCCAGTACAATATATATTTTTATTTCTTGTGCCAAGTATGTTGATTGTGGATCCAAGTAAGATTAAGTTGTTGATTATTTCAATCTTGTCTCCATCTATTATGACATTGCTTATTGGCCCAGTGATGAGGATTTTTTTTTCTTAGTGTTGAGATGCAATCCATACAGAAGTCTTTAATATTTGGCAGCAAAAATTTCAAGTCCTCCTCACTTTCTGAAAGCTAGGCTGTGTAATCCACATGACATAGGTTGTTGAACAGTGGTTCTCTTATCTTGATGCCAAATTCTTCTTCCTGGACTCGATCCTCTCCAGTGATTTGCTCAGCTCTGATGGCCTCCTGAAGGCATGCAGTTCAAGGCCACCAGCTGTTCCATGGGAGAAGGATGGAAAATATCCTTCCATGTGATTAGTTGCCTCTGAAAACCCATCAAAGGGTCAGCTATGGGTCAATTCCAACTCTATGGTACACAACAACAATAGGTTTAAGAGGTTTGGAGGAAGGATACAGCCATTAGAAAGATGGTAAAATAAAATAATAATTAGATACCATCTCCCCCAGCAAAAATGGCATTGTTCAACATGATAGTAAATAGCAAATACTAGCAAAAGTATGGCTAGATTAGGACTTACAATGTTGCTGGAGGCAATGTAAAATGGTATAACCACTATGACAAACCATTTGGTGCTTCCTTAGAAAATTAGAAATAGAAATACTTAATCCAGTAATCCTACTACTAGATATATCTCTCAAAGAAATAAGAAAAAGAGATTTGTATACTCACTTCATGCTTATTGCAACACTATTTGTAACAATAGCAGAGTCTATCAAAGGATGAGTAGAGAAAGAAGCTGTAGTATTTTTATGATGTATCACAAAATATTATCAAGAATCTATGAAATAATATAGAGCATGAATGAAAATAGAAAAATTATGAGGAATAGCATAAATCATTCACTAAAGAAAATTATATTATAAAATAACTAATTTAAAATGCTAAGCAAAAGTTTATAACAATCAGTCTTGGAGTGATGAAAAGGAAGGTAAAGAAAAACAATAAATTAAAAAAATAAACTCTACACAAATAAGCAAATGTTTATGGAAAATAATACAGAACAATTATATTTCTACCAATTTCCAAGGCAACTGTTGTTATTCCTCCATGTTATCTAATAAAATTTTACTCAGAGAACATCTACGTATAACAAATAAAAACATTGCCCAATCCTGTTCCATCTTCAAAATCACCATTGTACTCCATTTCAGTCAGTCAATCTTGTTGAGGGTTTTTCTGTCTTTGACTCCCCAGTTTTTCCAAAATTGAAAAAAATTTGCTTCCCCATAAACTCTATGAACAACATGACCACAGTATATAATGCCAAGTTTCAATACTTGTTTCCAAGGAGCACTCTGGCTCAATTTCTTCCAAGTAAGATTTGTTTATTTTCTTGCCAATTTATGGTATATACAATGTTATTTTTCTGCAACACTATTACTCAAGGCCTCAAGTCTTCTAATTCTTTGTCAAACTTTGCAAGAATATGAAGCGATTGAATTTACCATGGCTTAGGTTAAAGAACATCTTGGACTTCAAACTGATAGCCTTGTTCTTTAGTATTTTAAAGAGACCCTTAACAGTAAATGTACCCTGACACAACATGTGTTTTGATTTCTTGACTGCATCAACTGTATTGATTGTGAATCCAAGTAAAAGGAAATATTTAACAACTTCAGTCTTTTCTCCATTTTTACTGATGTTAATTGAAGACTGTTATCTTTGATCTTCAACAAGAGCTTAACTCTTCATTTTCTTCACAATGTAGGTTATTCATGTATATTCCTCCAATCTTGATTCCACTTTCTTCTTTATGTAGTATAACTTGTAGAATTCCGTTCTCAGCATATGTGATGAATGGTTGTGGAGAAAATATGCAACCTTGGTACATACCTTCCCTGATTTTAAATCATGTACTATCACTGTGTTATCATCTATTATCCAAGGAAGTGCCAAAAGAACAAATATGTCTTGGAGAAAGTGCAACCAGGGTACTCCTTGGAGGCAAGGATGGTGAAACTTCGTCTAACATACATTGAGCATGTTAATAGTAGTTACTGGTCCTTGGAAAAAGAAATTATGCTTGGAAAGGTGGAAGGTGAGTGAAAGAGAAGACCCTGAAGAAGATGGATTGACACAGTGACTGCAACAATGGTCTCAAGTATATCAGAGATGATGAAGAAAGCACAGGATAGATCAAGGTGCAAATCCATTGTTCATAAGTTCACTATGAGTTGTAGGCAGCTGACTTAGTGGTCTCTAACTACACTACTACCACCACCACTAACATATTATCACAATATACAAAACATCCAGAATATTATGATTACTTGGATTTTACAATAATTTTACCTTTGTTTTTCAGTATGATTATATGGGCTCTGGAATGATGACTGTGACACAGAAAATTGTCCAGGTTATTGGCCTTGTTAACACTGTAAGTTTTTATCTCTTCATACTTATATTTTTATGTAAAACAATTGAAAGTTATTTTTACATTTTATCATGGCAAATTAATTACAATGTCATTCTACAAGCTAAAAATACAAAATACTCAATGTAATATTTTCATTTTTATGTGTTGTTTTCATGTTGTAATACTTGCATAAGTGTTTCATTTCTCTATCTTTTAGATGTTTACACAGTTAAAATTAAATGTTATACTGTCCTCCTTGGAATTGTGGTCAGAAAAGAACTATATTTCTACCAGTGGTGATGCTGATGATATATTACAACGATTTCTGGCATGGAAACAAGACAATTTTGTTCCAAGACCTCATGACATGGCATATTTACTTATGTAAGCAAAACGCTCTTCACGAATAATGATGTGTGCGAAAAGACTTCATTGAATTTTAATGATTTTTATGTGTTTTTAACATTCTATAGCATTCTTGGACATTTCTAAATATAACCACTGTCATAAAGATAATAGTGGAAGCATAATATTCATAAGTAATTGGAACAGTATCTGTAAAGCATAAAATGATAAGAAAGTTTACTTTTAATTAGCTTTATAATATCAGTTATACTACAAAATATAGAAAACCCTCAACTTACGTAAAAATGAACTCTATTTGGTAAATATTACCGATGATATGTTACATATTTTCATGTCTATGCTTTTGACATAAAGAGATTTGAGTGTCTGTGTGTATAAAATATATAATTTTGAAACATCTTATTTTGATGACAAAATTTCTTCTTTACAAGTGTTTAAAAAGTCTTTGTTTTACTCTTTATTGAAGGAAGGAAAAGAGAAATTGAGGAGCTTCTAAAATAATAAAAGTACATCAAAGCTAGAAATTACCTGTGGAAATAAAATTAATAATAAACAAATGAATTCTTATTGTTCATGATTTGAGTACTTGGATTAATTTATCATGTAAAACATATTTTTGGAGGAGAATGTTAGCGATTAATGTAATAGATTTTTTAAAATAATCATATTAATAAATGGTACTGTCATTTTATACAGTTACAGTAACTATCCTAAACATGTGGGAGCAACATTTCCAGGGATGATATGCAATAAAAGCTATGATGTTGGCATTGCAATGGTATGTAATTATTAAAGTTTCTTTTACATTATTATATTTTTATCTTTATGCTGTTTCTTAAAAGTATTCATTTTAGTTTATTTTTACTCCCTTCTTCCTCCCTTCCCATCTTTGTTAATCCTCCAAGATTGACTCCATGTGTGTAAACCTTTACTTAGCTTTTTATCCTTTTGTTATTATGTGCCATCGAGTCTCCTCTGACTCATAGCAACCCTATGTACAGTAGCTCTGAACCCTGCTCTATCCTGAGCATAACTCACAGACCCCAACACAACTAATCCCACTGCCCAGTTATTCTGTCAATCTATCTTATTTGAGGTCGTCCTCTTCTGCACTGTCCCTTCACCCATCCAAGTGTGGTGTCCTTCTCCAAGGACTGGTCCCTCCTGGCAATGTGCCCAAAGTATGTGAGACAGATCTTCAAAATCTTTGCCTCCAAGGAGAAACTCTCCAAGGTTTCACTCTCTCCAAAACAGGCCTATTTGTTCTCCTGGTGGTCCATGGTATGTTCAATACTTTTCTCCAGCACCACAACTCAAAGGCATAAATTCTTCTACTGTCATCCTTAGTCATTCTCCTGCTCTCTGATGCATAGCAAGTAATTGTGAAGACCATGGCTTTGATCAAGTGCACCTTAGTCTCTAGACTGACATCATTTCTGTTTAGTACTTTGGAAAGGTTCCTGATGACAGACTTCCCAATGCAATTTTTTTTATTTCCTGACTGCTGGTGCCAGGAATGTGGATTGTGGAGTTGAGCAAGTTGAAATTAACAACTTCAAACTCTTCTCCATATATCATGGTGCTGCTATTTGGCCCAGTGGTTAAGAGTCTTCTCTTGTTGATGTTAAACTTCACTCCATATTGAAGTCTATAGTCCTCGACTTCTGCAGGCAAACATTTCAGGTCCTCCTCAGTTTCAGCAACCAATGTTATATCATCTGCATAACACAGGTAGTTGATGACTTTCCTCCAATCCTTATACCACACTCCTCACAAAGTTCAGGCTCCCAAATGATCTGTTCTGCGTCCAGATTGAAAAGGTATGGAGACAGGATGCATCTCTGATGCACAGCCTTCCTAATTTTGAACTATGTAGTGTTTCATAGCTCTGCTCTGACAACTGTCACCTGGGCCAAGTATAGATTTCCATGAGCATAATCAATGTTCTGGGATTCCATTCTTTTCAAGATTAGCCAAGAAATGTCATGATCTTAATAGTCAGATGCTTTTGGATAGTCAATTAAGCACAAATATACATTCCTCTTGTACTCGTTGATTTCAGCCAAGAATCATCAGACATTGATGATAATGTCTCTAGTGCCATGGCCCCTTCTGAACCCAGTTTATATTTTTGTATTTAGTATTTTGTTAATATACTGTTCTGGTCATATTTTTTTATAATCTTCAGCAGGATTTCACTTGTATGTGATAATATTACAGAAGAGCTATGGTGTTTCTCTGGAGACTAAGGTGCGTCTGATACAGGCCATGATCTTTGCTATCACTTGTTATGCATCAGAGAATTGGACAATGACTAAGAAGGATAGAAGGAGAATTGATGCCTTTGAGCTGTGGTGCTGGAGAAGAGTATTGAGGGTACCATGGATTGCTAGGAAAACAAACAGATTCATCCTGGAAAGGTTCAAACCAAGCGGCTTCTTGGAGGCAAGGATTCTGAGGCTCTGTCTAACATACTTTGGACATGTTGTAAGGAGGGACCGGTCCTTGGAGAGGGACATCATGCTTGATAGGGTGAAGGAACAGAGCAGGAGGGGAAGGCCCTCTATGAAGTGGATTGATTCAGTGACTGGGTTAATTGGAATGGTTGTATCAGAGATGGTGCGATTGGCATGGGACAGAGCAGAGTTCAGGGCTGTTATACATAGGGTCTCTGTGAGTCTCAAGAGACTCAACGGCACATAACAACAACAATAATGATATTGTTTGGTAATTTCTACACTCTGTTGGGTCACTTTTCTTTAGGATAAAATTAAATATGGACCTCTTCCAGTCACTTAGCTAGGTAGTTGTCCTCCAGACTTTTAGGCACAACTTGGTGAGCATGTCTAGGACTGCATCTGTTTGTTAAAATATATCAATTGATATGCCATCAATTCCTGGGGCCTTGTTTTTTTCCCATTCCTTCGGAGAAGTTTGAAATTCCTTCTTCATCACCATTGTCTTTTCATCATATATTGTTTCATGAAATTCTTCTATTAGTGGTCTTATATAATAATTGGTCTAATACCAATTGAGGAACTTCAGCAAATAGATACATCCTTGCACATGCACACTGTTGATTTTAGGTGCTGTGGAGTTGACTGGACTCATAGTAACCCCTGTGAACAAAAAATCTGAAACTTGCCCTATCCTCTACCAACCTCATGATCTCTGACATGCTTGAGCCCATTTTCCAGGTTCTTCCATTTCCTCTGACCTTCCATATTTCCCACCATGCTGTCTTTTTCCAAGGGCTGACCTTCTTGACAAAATGACCAAAATATGTGAGATCTAGTTTCACTTTCCTTGACTCTCAGGAATACCTGATTGCACTAATATATTCCAATAAATTTAGAAGTAGCCTGCCTGACCAAGCAACTGGAATAGATCTTTAGTTGTTCTAATGCCAAGAAAGAAAATCTAAAAAAGGATTGTTGTTGTTAAGTGTCATGAAGACATAGATGACTCATAACAACACTATGAACAAAAGACCTAAATGATTGTATAACTTTCACAGGTTCTCCAAGTTCATAGAGTTTCTGCAGGCAAGCTGTTTCAGAAGTGGGTGCCACTCTTGCTTCCAAGCTTGTTGTAATCAGGGAATAAATAAATAATATATTCAATACATATGTTGAATTAAGAAAGCCATTGCTAGATCCATCTCGAAGTACAATATTGTGAGTGACAGGATAATACCCATACGCATACAAGGAAGGCCAGTGAATACCACTGTCATTCAGATATATGCACCAACAACCAGAGCCAAGGAAGAGGAAATAGAAGATTTTTACCAACTTTTATAGTTGGAGATCGATCAAACATGCAAACAAGATGCATTGATAATAATGGGTGACTAGAATGCAAAAGTTGAGAATAGAGAAGAAGATCCAGTAGTTGGAAAACATGGACTCAGTGACAGAAATGGAGCTGGAGAGAGAATGATCAAATTTCGCACAATCAATGACTTATTCATTGCAAGTACATTTTTTAAGAGACATAAACGCAGGTTATACACATGATATGCATAGGAATCAAACGTATTGCATCTGCGGAAAGAACCACTAGAGAAGCTCAATATCAGCTGTGAAAACTAGGCCAGGAGCTGATTGTGAAACAGACCATCAACTACTCATCGGCAAGTTCAAGCTGAAGCAGAGGAAAATTAACTCAAGTCCACGGGAACCAAAATATGACTTTGAGTCTATCCCTGCTGAATTTCAGAACCATCTCAGGAACAGGTTTGAGGCCTCGAACACTAATGAGCAAAGACCAGATGAGTTGTGGGAGAATATCAAGGGTATCATCCAAGAAGAGTGCAAACGTTCATTACAAAGACAGAAGAGAAAGAAAAAACCAAAATGGATGTCAGAGACTCTGAAAATTGCACTGGAGTGCAGAGAAGCCAAAACAAAGGGAAGAATTCAAGATACTAAAAAGTTGAATAGAAGATTTCAAAAGGCAGCATGGGAAGACATAGTAAAATATTACAATGAAATGTGCAAGGAGTTGGAGTCAGAAAAGTCAGAAAATCAAAAGGGCCGAACTCACCCAGCATTTCTTAAGCTCAAGGAACTGAAGAACAAATTCAAACCTCAAGTTGCTATAATCAAGGATGCTTTAGGCAGAATATTAAATGATCCAGGAAGTATTAAAAGAAGATGGAAAGCATATACTGAGTCACTGTATCGAAGGGAATGCAGAGACAGAAGAATTTAATGAAACAACATATAAGCAAGAGCCTATGGTGATGAAGGAAGAAGTTCAAGCTGCTTTGAAGGAAATAGCAGAAAATAAGGCCCCAGGAATAAATGGTATACCGATTGACATATTTCAGCTAACAGATGCTGCCCTGGACGTGCTCACCAAGTTGTGCCAAGAAATATGGAGAACAACTATCTGGCCAACTGACTGGAAGAGATCTATATTTGTTCCCATCCCAAAGAAGGGTAACCCAACAGAGTGTGAAAACTATAGAACAATCTCATTGATTTTACATGCTAGCAAGATTCTACTGAAGATTATCCAAAAACAACTGGAACAACACATCAGTAGAGAATTGCCAGAAGTCCAGGCTGGGTTTAGAAGGGGTCATGGTACTAGAGTTATTGTAGCTAATGTTAGATGGATCTTAGCTGAAAGCAGGGAACACCAGAAGAATGTCTATCTGTGTTTCATTGACTATGCAAAGGCATTTGACTGTGT